TCTAAGGGGCCACATAACACCTCAGAGCAAACTGAATATGCTCAGTATCACAGAATAGAGTAATAGTTGGAAAAGCGGAATGTAATATGGGTTGGGTAGAGCTAAATTACCCTGCTTGGAGGGAGTGGCAGGCTGCAACCATGCATATAGGAAATCTTATAGGAAAATGTGCTATGTTTTATTGCAGGTCCTTCTTGTCAACAAGTAAAGCTAAATAAATAATGAAATAACTTGCAGCTTTGGGCTCATCTGAACTGCTGACCACAAACACCAGTGTCCTGTGTTTGTGAACATGGGATGCAATCAAATGGCAAAATTGTAGCTTGGTCTTTGGATCTGGGTTTCCTCTTCCTTAAATAAGTAAGCAGCAGCAGTCCTTTCACTGGAATTATGAGATGAGTTGAGCTTGCTGGGGAGGGTTTAAATGCACCATTTGTGTGCACAGATCGCATGCATACCTTACTAAATATGAGGATATATAGGGTAGGGAAAGAGTCATGTTGAATTTTTGGAATGCTGATTTCATTGTTATATTTAACAGGATTTAAAAAATACCTCTGTGCATAAAGATGGTTGAACAGATGGGGTTTGCTTAGCCCATATCTTGTCCTTTCATGATATCAAACTTGAATGGTACACCATGCATGAATAAGGAACCCGATGTAGTTCTGTTAGCCTCTTTGGCTTCCTTTCTCCACTGACCATGTTGATGCTGCCACCATCCAAACCATCTTTGGTATGATGTGTTTTCTTAATCTTAGACAGCACAAATACCACTATAGGCTCTCCTTACATGGAGTGCTATTTTATTTTTATCTCTCTTCAACCTCCACACCACTCCCAGTCATGCCCCAGCCTGGAAGCTAGGGGAGAAAATGCTTCCAAACTTTAAAAGGAAGCAGCCAGGCGTTGGCCATTGTCCTGGGAGGATTCACCTTGATTAAGTTTCTATTTATGTAATACTACTCCAGCTGTGATGGAGGATCCTGATGAAGGGGAGAACAGCTGATCTCAACAGAAGCTTTTTATAAAACACACTTGGTGTTTGTAAGACCACCCACCCTCTGCGAGAAACTGTGTCAGTTCATCGGTGCAATTTTGGGGTAGTTGCAAGTAGACCAGTTTATAGAATAAAGCTAGTGTGGCACCACAAAAACAACCTGTTATCTGCCCAAGAGCTTATCACAAATAACTTCCGATTATCAGCATTGTCAGTGTGTGGTGCTGCAAATTTAGGAAGATATTCCTATTGTACTTACCCACTTCTGTAAAACCCTGAGTCTTCATATGCACCATAATTTTCATGTTTGTAGTGTTCAAAACTATCCATGGTTTTAACTTTTATTTTCCATTAATATATGGTTATGCATTGCAGAAAGTGTAATTCTGGTACTGTTTGTTGTACCAGCAGTGGTAAGAATCCACTGTTTAATGTACACAAATATAATCCAAATCTAGAGTAAAACGGTATGTTTATTAGGACCAATCAAAATGTCACAAAACAGTCCAATGGGTTGCTCTCTATTTCGTTACATTTTGGTTAGTACTAATAAACATACTGTTTGACTCTAGATTTTGGATTTTTTCTTACAGATGGGTACAGCTGCCCTTGCATTTTACAACCCATTGGTGCTATTGGTGTTGACATTGTCTGTCAATGTTACTGATTTCCCAAATACAATACTGATGTTTTCCTATCTATACTGGGTATAGATTAAGTGGTGTATTTATTTTCTCAGCTACATTAAGCCTATATAGCAATCATCCAGACTTTTGTATGGAAAATCTGTCCCCATATGCACTGTGAATTAAATATGCCAGAACCAGATTGCCATCCTGAAGATAACTGCCTATATGCCTGAACCCAAAAGTGTAGTTACCATCAGTCCAGACTGTTTAACTTGATTACATTCCTCCTCTTCTAATGTTCATCTTTATGCTTGTTTTTCCCTCTGGAAAATATTAGGTGTAACCATATCCACATTCAGTGCTTCTGATGATCATGCAAGTGCACCAGAGGTGACAACTGTATTAGTGTGTCAAAGATATAATTGCTGTAAGTTTGTTCTTTACAAATACATACACAACTTTCATGATAGGAATATATTAATCTTTTTTAAATGTCTTTTTTATAAACAAAGGAAAGTCCAGCATTATACTTGGTAGGAATTAGGAATTACCCTTTCTACTCTGAACAGGAGGGCTACTGTATTATAATATATTCTCAACAGTAAAAGATGGCAGGAGGAAAATTCTACTAGAGGAACAAGAATGTAGCCTGCAATCTAATGACCAGTTTTTCATTGTGGACCACTGGTAACAACTCTTCAAGTCTATGATTGGGGAAGCACCCAGAAGAGGCTTGTACCGTGCAATTGCACTCCTTCGCATGTACAATTTTACCAAGAGTGGTGGTGGTGATGATGGTGTGCAGATGATGCAATTTTCCATTTGTAACCCTCTCACATTTTTCTTCCATTACATTGTTCTTACATTGTTTTTCTTACCAGAAGATAGCTTGTCAGAAGAAAAGGCTGAAATGGATGCCTTTTTATAGATCATACTAGGAAGCTGTCTGTATAGAAGTGCCCAGTGTCTGTCAAATGGTAGTCTTGCAATAAAAACTTATTTCTCCTGATTACTTGCCAGCAACCCAGTTCAAAAGCCTTGGTGCTATGATACAGAAATGTCCTACTAAGGGAATTGTGTAGTCTAAAATATTCCGTTAATCTCACTGCTAGATATTCATTCTAGTTCTGTTATGTGTGCCGTTTGTAAAGGAAATTAACTTATATCTTGAAAGTATAAAGATTTAATTTACAATGGATCCCTTGAAAAGGATGATCTGCTATTAGTGAGAAATTATATAACCCATTTTCTCAGCCTGATTTGTGTTAAACACACACAGACACATGCACACACACACTTAACAGGCTCAGAGTTGGCTCATATATTTTGCCACAAGCTTGTAAGGACTTTTTTATGCAAGACATTTAATTATGCAGTTGTAATCCTTTATACATGGAAGCCTGCAGGTCCTTTATATGATGTTCCCATCCTCACAGGGCCCCTCCCATGTTTTCCAGCCATTTTCCCAGCTCTCTCCCACTTTCATTTTAAAGAAAGGGGATAATGCTCTATTTCCCTGGATGTTGTCATCATTTGCCAAGGAAGCCTTCTGTAAAGTCTAAATTCCACTCCATACCACCATCTCATGGTGCTGCTGCCTAGGGCTACTACCTTGTTTTGTGTAATGGATCATACAGACAGGCAGAGAAGAAAATGCCTGGAAAAAAATCTTTGTCTAAAAGGGCATTCTTTGTTCTGGAAAGAAAATGGAAACAGCAGCCTTGGTTAAACACCAGGTTAAATGGCTCATGCAGAGAAGTCCCCCAGACTCACCATGACTTTCTTTTTTACTAACAGTGCCTCTCGACATATGTATCTGGGTGGAATAAGGCTGCAAGTGATTCCAGATGGAGAAAAGATGTAGACTCAGCTCACATGACACAACAGTCCATTATGGGTTAATTTACACACAAGTACTGTCATATTTATTTATTTTTTTATTTAAAACATTTTTATGTCGACCCCATTGCAACGAAGTCTCGGGGTGGCTCACAACAGAATTGGCACCTGACACAACATATGGCACCTGACACAACTTATTGTGTCAGGTGCCATTTTAGCATGGCACCTGTGGGTACCCAGCTTGCCATAGGTTGCTGTGTCAAAGGAACTTGGAAGGGCTGAGCTGGGCATCTCCTTTGAGTTCAAATTGGGGCATGAAGGGCATGGGATGGAATGTATCAGGTGCTTGTATAGGCAGCTGCTGCAAGCCTGGTCACATCCTAAGAAACCCCCAGTCTCTGGTGAGCCTTCACCCTATCTCTACTCCAAGGCTCCAGGCTGAGGGGAGGGGAGGGTTCAGAGAGGGCAGGGCAGGGCCCCATCTGCAGGCCCATGGAAACTCCTTTACACATAGTACATTGAGTTGAGTCCTATAGAATTGCTTGAAGTATTCTGGATTGATGCACCTGGGTTTAGCTTTTATACGTTTTGTAACATGGTACAAAAGGTACATGGTAATCTCTTATTACTATGGAGATGAATATTTGCATGATATTGGAGTGTGCAGTTCCAAAGAAAAAATGAGGGGGAAAACTAAGGAGAGGAACTTGAGGGAGTAAATAAACAGATAATTCTTTGTCAAGAAGTGGGAAGAAATGAAGGTAGAAGGAAATTGAGATAAAGGGCCAGAGGTGAATGGAACAAGAAGGACCACAAACAAAAATAATGAAAATGCATAGATAAAGGAATGCTCATCCTTTAAGTGACAGAACCCTTTCACATTTTTCAGTATTTTTCTTCTTGTGACAATGAGAATTAGAAACTTTATTTTGAAAGAAACTACAAATGAAAAGTTGTCAGTATTCCTGTTTTTAAAATGTATATCCCAGATGAGATTATGATTTTTCTGCCAGGGTATTTATTTTTTTTCTATGTAGCTTCATTTCCTTGCTTTCCTCTGTTTCCTTTGGTAGAACACCTGCCTTGCATCCATCTCAAAGATGGGTTAGGAAGTAATCCTGCCAAACCCATGGGCAGCAGTTGCCAGTCAATATCAACAGTACTAGGCTACATGGACCAAAAGTCTGACTCAAGAAAAGGCAGCTTCCTATGTTTCAATACTATACACAGATATTCCCAGGTATGTGGGTGTGGAGGGTAGTTCTACCTATTCCTACTGTGGTTACAGAATCACAATTCAATATGGAGACACCATGAGAGTTACAGGAATTTCAGAGGAACCTTTCCCATGTTCCTTGTGGCAAAAATGTTCAAGAAGAAAGGGCCATCTTTGAAGAAAAGGGGTCTCTTTTAACAGAAACAGCCATCTGTGCACATGTGTGCACATAATACATGTTTTAATTTGAATGGACCAAGTGTAATTGAAAGAAAGAAGACATAAGACAAAGGAATAAATTAACATTTAGAACTGGTGCAGAAACATGAACTGTTTTATATACAGAGGCTGTTACACTGCAAAAATGTAGCTTCCTTCTTACATGGCTTGTGGTAGATGCATCTCTTGGATAATACAAGGTGGAAGGGATATGAGATAACAAGTTCTTGCCAGATGGAATTTTCCTGTCTGAAGAACCTTAAAAGAAAACATACAACATTTTAATGGAGTGTAATGATGGACTACTTACTATTTTTAAATTACTGACTATAGTCACAATATAACCCGATTAACAATATTTTATTCATTTAAAACATGTATATCCTGCATCTTCAAAACTCCAAGTAATTTCCAACAATGAAGAAAACAATAAAATGCATTTAAATAATACAATTTAAGTCAATAATAATACAGAGTTTTGTTATAATTCAGCAGCCATAATCACGTTGGGAGCAGTGGCTTTTGCAATCCCCTCCAAAATATTGCAACAGAACTGCAGCTCTGAGCCGTGTTGAAGGGGCCGTTAGGATAGAATTCCCCAGTCTTTTTGGGCCATTGGACACATTTCAGAATCTGAGAAATGACTATAGCAGCACCATAAAATGCTTATTCAGTGGATTGCTGTTTTGATACCCTCCTGTGGGATTTATTGATTATAGGCTGTGTCTAATTCAGCAAAAAAAAGTTTGTTTCATGCCTATTGGACTCTTGGACTCTTCAAGATCTCTTTAATATAGGATTGCATTTGCCCAACATTGGAGGAGTGAAGAACCACCTACAGACTAACTGATTCTAAACAAGATCTTGGACCGTGCCGAAATGGACAGATTGACTTTGTCTCTGAAGGAGAATGAGGATACAGACTTCTATCAAACTTGGAACTCTTTTTATTATTGGCTAGAGAAACAGGACTATGCACAGACTTAAATATGTTTATGGATTACTATAAAAAGTATGGGGGGCTGACCCAGTAGGTTTGACGCTTTTGATGATTGATGATTTTTAGTTTCTTTTTGATAGTTAGTAGAAAATAACAATAAAACTTATTTTAAAGGAATGATCTGTTTAATATGAAATTGTCTAATTTGGCTAATTTTTGTTGGTGCAATAGAGCTAATATGTATTTAAACATATACTTTTCCAATACTCAAAAGTTCTTCTTATGACTACATTATCACACAGATAAATTTTGTACTGGAATGTTATTTGCTATTCACTGATGTACATTCTCTATATTTACTTGCTTCATGGAAATTAACAACTGATCAGTGTAAATGGATTCTCTGTGTCCTTTTGACAGCTAAAACTGTGATATTATAGCACTGGAAGGATAAATGCTCACCTCCTATAATGCAAGATACTCAAAACCATACAGTGCTTTCAATGTTTGGAGAGTCAGTGTGGTGTAGTGGTTGAGAGTGTGAGACAGGGACTCACACAATCTGAGTTCTAGCCTTTGCTCAGCCATGGAGCCAAGTTGGTGACTTTGGGCAAGTCACAGACATTCAGCCCAACCTACCTCACAGGGTTGTTGTTGGGAGGGGTAAGACTGAGAGCAGGAGGAGGAGAATGATGTAACATGCCTTGGGTTCTTTGTAAGAATCAAAGAAAATAAATCTAATACATACATACATAATATTCGAATGAAGGTCATAGAGACACTACTCTCAAATAGATACTCTGCTTTTGATGAAGCCTTTGTATAATTGCTAGAAAGTTGTATGTACCTCATATGCATTCATTGCTATTGTTCCTGTTATGTGCCATCATGTCATCTACATGGCAGCCCCATGCTTGAATGACCTCCAGAATGACCTGGAGGTCCTGGACAACTATGCTCAGATTTTGTAAATTTGAGACTGTGGCTTCCTTCGTGGAGTTGGTTCATCTCATATTTTATTGCTGCTGCTGCTTGTGGCTTTTCCAGCATTATTGTATTGTAGGGTAAATTCTGACTTGATTTGATCTCAGACCCACTCATTTGTCTTTCTATCAGTTCAGGGTATTCACTAAGCTCTTCTTCAGCACCATGTTTCAAATGCATCAGTGATCTTCCTACCAGCCTTCTTCATAGTCCCACATCCACACTTATGCATAGTAATTGGGAATACAATGGTATGAATGATCTTGGCTTTGGTTTGCAGTTAAACTTCCTTACATTTGATGATCTTTTCTAGTTGCTTCATTGCTGCCCTTCCAAGTCTCGGTCTTCAAATGTCTTGGCTGCAGCCTCCCTTTGAATTGATGTTTGGGCCAAAATAGGCAAAATCTTTCACAATTTCAGTGTCTACATTGTTGACATTGAAGTCATTATTTTTGTTTTATTGATGTTCATCAGCAGTCCTGCTTTTCCACTTTCTTCTTTCACTTTAATCAAAAGTTATTTCAATTTATTATTCATTGGCATATTTTAAATTATTTCTGTGCCTTCTGCCAAATTTCTCTCCTCCTCCTGCTCCTGTTTTCCTCATGATATGTTCTGCATACAGATTGAACAGAAAGGAAGAAAGAATGCACACTTGTCTGATGCCTATGTTTATAGGAAACCATTCTGTTTCCCCATATTCTGTCATAACAGTAGCTCCTAGTAATGTAATACACAGGCAGAATAATTTCTTTCAGAACAATCTATGTCTTCTCATGATCTATTCAGTCAAAGGCTTTGCTGCAAGCTATAAAGCACAGACTGATCTACTCAGAAAATTCCTTGGTGCGCTCCAGTAGCCAATTTATATTTATTTGCAAGATGATTTCTAGCATCTCTTCCTTTTAATACATCAGGGCATTTCTGGCACCATATAGAGTAAATTTCCTTGTTGCAACACCTTGAGCATCACTTTGCTTGCATGGGAAATTAGTGCAATGGTCCTGTATATTAAACATCTCCAGTCTTTGGGCCATTGTTTTGTTTTCCATAATTGTTGGCATATTCTTGTTAGGATTTGAACCAATTCAGTCTCTGTAGCTTGGAATAGTTCCATTGGTATCCTGCCTACTCCGGGTGCTTTATTCCTTCCAAGTATTTGCAGAGCAGTTTTGATTTCATTTTATAATATTTCAGGATCTTCCTCATAGGATTGCTCTTCAAAAGCTTCCATCATCCTTTAATCTCATCTATACAGTTCTTCTCTATATTGTTTCCACCTTCTCTCTCTAAACATAGAAATGGCTCTTGTCAGCGCAAAACTCTGAATTATCTTTCCTAGCGTATGATCTGTCTTTCATACAGAAATGAAGTAGCACCCTCATAAATTCAAGCCCTGCAGAATACCCCAGTGTTTCCTAAGGAGAAATAAAATTAAATGCATGCCTGTTGTACATATTCCCAGCAGCCAAAAATTCATGTCATTCTCAAGCATCAGTCCTGCCTTCTGACGTAACATTTCAAACACAATATACTGAACATAGGATCTGGGCTACAGAAGGTTGCACACAGGAAGTAATGTCCGAGATGCCACTACTTGAGAGGTATGAAAGAAGGACCTGCATGTATTGCTCAGTTGCTAAAGGAATGACATTTCTCCTCTCCGGTGTTAGGCATCTACGCTCCTTGAGGCCATTGATCTACAAACAGAAACCTGTTTCTTTAAATATTATTAATTCATGAGGGCAACACCCTAGTAATCATTTGACAATAATGGCAATAGCAGGTTATACTTACCTAGCTAATACCAGACTAATGACTACCAGGCGTGTGTGCACTGACCACAAAGTTCAGTTCAGACTCTGATTCTGCAATTCAGCAACAGCCCAATTCAGCTCAAACTGATTTGGAGGCTGCCTGACTCAATTTGGGGGTCAAATCCGAATATCATTGTAAACTGACTATCATTGGAAATCAACAGATGGTTATAACTTATTTCTGAGTCACACAATTGGATCTGGTCTCCTTAGTTCCTTGTGGGCAATTGTTATTGAAATATTGTAAAATATGTGACCCTAGAAAGAAACCTGAAACATTTCAGAAGGATTAGTCTGGAAGGGGAATTTTCAGATTTGAGCTTAGAAACTTGTTTGTTTTTTCTTTATGTATGTATATTTGTTTTGTTTTCTTTTTTTCCTTTTTTGTTTTTGCAGCAGCACAGGAAACCTGCAAAATTTTTGCAGGATAGGTATAGTACCTATCTTTGAATAGTACATATTCATGAAAAGTATTTTAAATCTTGATGATGAGCTCAGTTGGCAGTAAAGTCATAGAACGTGCAATAAGTGAGTAATGGATTAAAGATGCAATGCATAAAACGGCAAAGATAGAATCCTGGGCTTGAACATCTAACATTTTCCAAACAAGCAACTAATATTCCTAGGTCTCGCCAACTCCACTAAAGCATTCTCACTCTTGGAGGAGAGAACTATCAAATACTAGATTGATCCTGTGATATACTGGACTTCTCCACATGAGATGTTTAACTTGACATTTTACTGAGTCTTCTTCCATTTTCTTTGCAGAAAGAAGACTGTGTCTGTTTCAGGAAGTCTTTCTCTGTATTGTCATATGTTCTACTACAAAACCTCAAGGTGGTGCTAAGATGTAAAGCAGAATTGCAAATATACATGAAGCATCTGATAGCAAATCATGGAGTCATCCAGGTAATACTGCACTTTGCTTGCTCTAAAAAAATACATGAATATGACTGAAAAAGATGAGAGAGAATCTGAAAGAACACAGGGCCTGCAAACTTTCACAAGAGCAGAAGAAATGTCTCATATAGAGAAGCCCAGTATTCCTTCCCTAAAGCACTGGGATTGGAAAGCCCTGGTAAAACCATTCATTATGATTAGAAGACAGAGCTTCCAATCACAAAGCTACACTCCTTCCTCTCCCCAAACTTGTGGTTTCCTTATCTAGAGCACTCAGAGGAAAATGTATCACTTTTTGGAGAGATACTGCTTGTGTTTCTATGCCCCTCCAAATCCAAATTGCTAAAGAACCTTCAAGAACATTCAGATTTTTTCTCTGCTTTAAAATGAGGCCTACTTCACTTTGAAGCTCTCTCAAAGCTTTCTGAATCAGCCTGGTTCAAGATTCATCTGAATGCAAAGCACATCCCCAGCCCGTAAAAAGTACTTGCTTAATAGGTTCAGGTTCATCAGTTCTGCCACATGCCGACATTTCCACGCCATCTTTTTGAACTTCTAATACTTTTCCATCTCATTTTTATTTCTATATTTGCTAATGTTAGAAAGTTTTGCACTAGTAACATCCCCTTCAGCTATTAATACTTCCAAGCGACCTAACAAAAGGATCATCGGAAAGCCTGTGATCTCCTTGGACGATTATTGCACACTGAACCATGTTCAAATGCTATTGGGAAGCTGCCAATACAGCATAAAATCCGTATTACATTTTTCACATTTCCAGCACTAAAAGCAGGCTTGTCTTTTCACTGTTGGTAATTCAGTGGAAGATTGCCCCCCCGCCCCCACAAACTAACACATTCCATGGCTCCATCTGAGATCACCTAAACAAGGAAAGGGGAGGGACTTACTGTAAGGCTTCCATCTTCAACCTGACATGATATGCTTGACAAAAGCTGAGAATAATTAAAAGAAAAATTTAAAAATAGAGTGAAATTGGTTTTCATAACATAAGAGATGATTATTTTACAGAGAAATCCTCTCCTTGTTTGCTTAAGCCCCCTGTAATCAATAGGGATTACCCCCTAGTAAATATAAAATTTGATAATTTGCTAAAGGCAAGTAATAATTTGACCAATCATCTTTCAGACCTTTTGAAGTTCACCCAAACCAGACTATAGAAAATATCACTAAAGTAGAGAGCCTTGGGTAGTAAAGAGGCTGGAAGGGCAAACTGCTTTAGATGAACTATGGAAGTCAAGCCACACATTATCCAGAACTATTCATTTTTAAATTACATTTTAATTTTGCTCCAGGAGAGCCCAGACTGCTCTTGTGCCTTAAATCAGGACCCTTGAGCATCCCCAAAAGCCCTATTTCTTACATGCTACACGTGAATGGTTCCAACTGCAAAGTCACAATAATGTGCCATATGAATACATTCAAAAGGGACCAATACCTTCACAGAAAGGAACAGAAACCCCAGAACTGCTTGTGTACCCTAGAGGAAGTATTGAAAATATCTCAGGAAGCACTGTTTGATATATGCTCCACAGGAATGGCCCCAGAATCTCTAAATCTCTGAATGCCCACAGGAATACACTGGAATGTATTCATAGTAAGGAGAAGAACCCATGCAAACTGCTCGGGTAGCTACTACCCAAAATATCCCCAGAACCGCTTTGACGCATGCTTCACAGGAATTTCCCCAGCCTGCCACATGGCCATGACAAAGAGCCAACATTCCAAATGGCCATAGGAATACTTTGGAATTTGCCCCTTCCGTTCATCATCTTAGAGCCACTTGATTCTCCGAGGAGTGTGAGTTGTTACTGGCACAGGAGAAGGTGAGTTCAAACGTGTTCTTTTGTGCAAGGGGCACAACAGACAGAGTAGTCCCCAACAATCAGCAACCCATACCAGTGTGGTGTCGTGGTTAAGAGCATGGGACTGGGACTCAGGCGATCTGGGTTCTAGTCCTTGCTCACCATGGAGCCAACTGGGTGACTTTGGGCCAGTCACAGACTCTTGGCCCAACCTACCTCACAGGGTTGTTTTTGTGGGGATAAGATGGAGGAGGAGAATGATGTAAGCTGCCTTGAGCCCTTTGTAGGAAAAAGGCAGGATATAAATTGAAAAATAAATAAATAAAATACCACAAAAATAGTAAACTGAGTAACAAAACATGCCAAGGGTAGATAGAGAAAATCATACTGCTGACAGCTCCCCTCAGTTCTAGTCAGGATGGCTAAAGCAGAGGATGATGGAAGCTGTAAGCCAAAAACATCTGGAGGGCTACAAGCTGCACACCCCTACTCTTTAAAGAGCAGCAAGGCATGGTCCAGTTAGATCTGCTGTATGTCAGATAACATTTTCTAGAATTCCCCAACGTGAGGCCACTTCAAACCCTATGTGAAAGGAGGAACCCCTTTTGCTACAGCCTTTTTAGCAAGAGGGAAGTAGAACGTTATTACTGGGATGCAGTTTTATTGATGTGAGATGGCACCTACACATCAGTTTTAAGAAAAACTCCCAATTAACAGCTGAAATGGGTTTTGCTGGTTCCTTCTGATACATCAGGTCTCATTTGGTACCAGAACTGATGCCCTAAAATCAGCTACCCACACAAAGCTGAAGTGCTATCCTAAGGGGTCTGTTAATATCACTCCAGTACATTCTAAATGGCATCTGAACACCATGGCCAAGCAGAAGCAGGGACCATTTCTGTGGATCATGGGGAATTAGGAATACAATGGGGAATCAGGGAATGATGGGAGGAAGGATTAATTCTATCACCTGTGAACAGTTGGGGGCTCCCACTGTTTCTTGTGGGTCTGCAGGTATGGTTCTAATGCATTCCTGTGACCATTCTAAAAATTGCCTACAACTTGTGACAACTTGGAAGTAGCTGCCATTCCTGTGGAATATGAATCAAATATGGTCTCCTGTAATGTTTAGGGGTAAGAGATCTATTGCAATGAATAGGGCTGGGATGAATCTAACGGGATCCATCCCTCTAACATTCCATCCATTCCTCTTATGCTCAGTCGAACCTGGGAAAGCAATGAGGGGAAATCCATGAATGCCCCTGGAACAAAGGTTGTGTGCAACTGGCAACCTTATTCCACATCAGGTGCAACGGCACGAACGGCCGCTACTGGTGGCACAAAAGAGGGACTCTCCTCCACAGAGGTCATGTGGGGCGCGATCCTCGCTAGTGCTCTGTGAACACTGGGTGCAAGAGTTGCTTGTTGTGATGTGTGAACCCAATCACTCTCTCGGTCAGGCATGACAGGTGAGACAGCAGTAAACAGCTGCTGGACCATCTAGCAGTAATCAACATTTAAGTCCCAACAATCAAAACTGCAGATTTTATGGTGATAACAGCCAGTGTGAATGGATCCTAAGTTTCCTAAGCAGTAGAGAGTCTCATTAAGAAGGGGGACTTTTCTTACCTTCATAATTGATGCAGCCATTGGCATCTTCTTGCCCAGCCATTAGTTGTTCTACTTCAGCTTCTGTCATCTTCTCCCCTACAAGTAGATATCCAGCATCAAATTTTGTTCATTAGATTTGTCACTCACAGCTCCGAATGGAGTAAAGGGTTTAGTCATTAAGTGCTATAAAGGAAGTATTTTGCTGTGTCCTGACCTAGAAATCCTTAGGAGTAACAGAATTATTTGATTAACCAGCAGCACCCAGGAGTAAACAGTGCTTATCACACAAAATAGTTGAGTGTGTAGACTGGTAGAATAATCCTATGTGACCTGATGCAGAAACCCCTGTGTCCACAAGTGGTAAGCACTCATCATATCTCACAACATTAAAGGGTGCCTCTAGACAAGGCTTTAGTCATTCATGGAGTTTTAGGGGGCAGTCCAGGCATTGTCATCTGCCACTCACAACTATCCCATATTTTCCCATTACTTTTCTTGCCTTTTCATTTACTGCAGAAAATCCTTTAAGAAGAACAAACAGGATAGCTGCAGGATGCCTCCTCCCTGAGAGCACTAGGGGCTTCTGGTGTTCACTTTAAATAGCAGGTAGTACCAGAGTGAGCAAATGATTCGTGAGATCTTCAGAGATGGTATTCTTCTCTTTCATGTGGAATTGCTTTGTGGAATGCACACAAAGGCACTGGTTCTTGCACAATCAGCTGGAAGCAACATTAAACCAGCTGCTCGAGAAGGCACATGACAGAGAGCTCAGTATCCCATAATGATCCTGCCAAGCCCATTCCTTGCAGGCAAGTGCCTATCCTACACTCACTCAGAACCCCTTCAGACCTTTAGATTCCTATTAGCTGCCCCAGCAAGCAGACCGTTGGCTATTTTTTCTGTGCTTTTAAACTATTATTGCTAGTCTGCAATTAGAAGCTAAAAGATAAAATAATCAACAAGAAAATGTTAAAGTGAGTTTGCCAAACAAACAAACAAACCCTGATTAAAGGGATAATTGTGATCAGGGCAGCTGTAGGAAGACATGGGAGATGTTTGTTATGCTTTATTTATCTATATTTTTAAAATTCCAGCCTACTCTGCCATCAGGTGCCACCCAAAGCTGTTTATGGAATCCATAAAATTATTAATCCTTGTCTGCCTTGAGCCATCTAGAGAAGCAGCAGGTGCATGTCTGGGTTGTATAATTTTAACAAAAAGAAGCTTGTACAGCACTAGAAAATAACCTTTCAATCTTATAAGAACAGTAAAAAAAACAACAGCCGGTAATTATTTTAGTCTTTAAAAGCCAGAGTTGGGTGAAACAATGAAAATTGTTAAGCTACATTTGACACTTTGGAAGAGATTTTTAAGTTATGGTGAGGATGTGGGGAAATCCAAAAGCATGACTTGCTCTGAATTCCATATGGACATAACACCTCTCATCAAATCTCCTTAACATGGGTGTGTGTGTGTATCTTTTTGGAAAAGACAAAATACGGGGGAATGCTAAGCCTTGCAAATGTACAATATTTGCTACATGCATTTTCCTTCATCGTGTTATCAGTTAAATTCATTTCTTTACCTAAAGTTGCAAGTACATGGCGCAATTCAGCCCCCATTACGGTGCCATTTCCTTCCTTGTCAAAGACACGCAAGCCTTCCACAAAGTCCTCAAAGGTTCCTTGGTCCTTGGCCCGGGCAATGTGCTGCAACATTGGAAGGAAAGTTTCGAAATCCAGCATCTTTGTGTTCAATTCTGACAAGGAAAAAATAGTGGGGAAAGACAGTGATATTACCAGTATATATCCATAACAGGTTGCTTCAATGACCCACAGTGTGACAAATTACAAGCTCAAACCCACCATTTTCACCCTCCCATTCCCTCTTCCTTCCATGCAATGGCTGCAGAAGAGACTTCCTTGTTTCTTAAACTAGTTTCTTGTGACATCTGAATAGGGAAACTGGTTTAAGTAAATTTGCAAACCAGGATGACTTGAGACCTGGTTACAAATTGTCCCAGGCCCAGAGGCATGATATTTGGACATGGCTTCCAGACCAGCCACTGAGCCCACAGGTGTATAATCTTAAGATGTGAAAAGGACCATGGTTGAAGAACTACAGAGGGCCAAGTCCACCCTGTGGCATATGCTTGCCTTCTGGCTTTGGCTTCCCCAGCACCTTCAAAACCTCTGCATTGGTTGGGTTCTGTCCCAAGGCTCGCATGACATCTCCACACTGACTGTATGTAATCTTCATCTCTCCAGTTGGGGTCCTGTCAAACAGCATGAAGGCCTCTTTGAATTCTGCACAAACAAAAGGAACCGGGGTAGCTTTTTTACACAAGTCAGAAAACAGGGCTGAACATGGCATTCAAATTCTTCCTATCTGATGTTCGGAAGAAGTTATCACTTCATTATTATATAAAAGTTAGTTGTGAATTACTTAATACTAATTATAAATGAACACGCACACCACTATTTTGATATGTATGAATCTATATGCAGTGGAAGGTTGGTGTCACAGGGCAGGGGAGACGTCCAAGGCTCCCACAGAGGTGCCAGTAAACAGAGGCACACATGCGTAGAGACTGAGTCCCATAACTGAAGCAAATGGGGAAGCCTCTCTGATCCCCAAACAGTGTTGAAATCAAATTGATTTCCTCACAAATACCATATGTATACACATATGGTAGCCAGAGGCAAATGAAGACAGGGCTCTTGTACCTTCAATAGTTTTGTAGAAGAAATACAAGGTGGGATAGAAATATAATAAATACAAACATACATCTGCTGACATTTCTTCTTCTGCACAGTTCTTAAAATGCAGGAGCCTTGACCCCTTTGTGTACCTTGCCACCAGATGAGTATCAAAGAGCACAATTTGAATATGAGTATCAAAGAGCACAATTCTAGGCTTACTCAGAAGTAAGCCATGTTGATGATTTTTTTTTTTTTTTTTTTTTGGACTGGCTCCCAGATAAGTGTGCTTCGAGTAGCCTATTACAGCTAAATTATACACTGATAATGACATGTTCAAAAGATCAGAATACAGAAAGTTGAAGAAATATCTGCAGGTCCTTCTTGCACTATGTTTGCCTCTTGCTCCCAATTCCAGAGCAGACTGTAACCCATTGACTTCTCTTTCCCTTCCAGGATGGGTTTATCTGGAAAAATCAGATCTGGGTTTATCAGGAATAATCAAAACTGTGTTTGATATACAAGATGTTTTTCAACTTCTTGACTTGTTGCAATATTCTCTCTTTATCCCTTAATTTTGCTAGCTGAACAACAGTACGGCCTTGATCTGTGTTTGCCTTCTACCCATTGCCAGTTACCCTATAGAAGATGCTTTCAACTACAACAGGGTCATCTCTGAAATCTACGTTACGGATACCTTAACATCTTCACTAGGAAGGCTACCAAATTTTGGTTCTCTTTCTTTTCCGACAAGCCATGTCTCCTAAACATATGTGACTGCACTTGTTTCTCAGTCTGCTACATGCAGTCACTGACATACTTGTTCTCACCAGCTAGGCGTTCAGTGTCCTGCTGGTAGGTTTGCACCTTTGCTTGTTCATTCTTATTTCTAGAGTCAGATGCTGCAGCTGACTGGGTCAGGCTGTGGATCAGTCCTTCCAGCATGTCCACACGTAAATTCAAGGCTGAGATTTTCTTGTCAAAGGCTTTCACTGCCTCTGTGGTTTGGTCCATTTTTTTCTTGATCTCCAATACCATGTCCCTCATGGAGGCATCTCCCCTACTGAAGGAGGCCAACAGATCAGCACTGGTATGCAGCTCTGAAGATGTGGAAGTCCAAGAAGAGTCATACTGAATATTATGGAAATCCTTAATCAGGAGTGTTGGTGATATTGCTTTGTTCTTCGGCATTTTTATACCAGTTGCAGTTTGGTGGCTGTCACATTATGGAGAAAACCACATGCAGCATCACAATGACTGGCTTTAGACAACATAATAACCCTCACTCAAGGGTTCAGTTGAGTGTGGGTCATCATTGATCTGTGATGTTGTGTTGAACTATGGATTATTATGTCATCTAAACTTAGCTATGCTAGCAGGCCATGGCCTGTTAACCAGAAATATCCCATGAAGAGAACCCATGTTTTGTTCTTCAGTTGTGAACTGTGGGTTAACTGTGAGTTGTTTTTTGGCTAACCACCATATTCAACAACAAATGATACTCGACCCTTGAATGTAGGTTATTATGTTTTCTGAACCCAGGCCATAAACCACAATGCAAGGCTGAGTATGGATTGTCACTGAACCAAAGGTTATTATTGAAATGCTTATCATGTTGTACTAACAAACAATAGTTTGTTAGCCAAAACAACTCATGAGTAGAACCTATAGATTTCTGTTGGGTTGTGAACTATGGGTTACTTATGATTAACAAACCATGGTTTGTTAGCATGCCTGGGTTCAGACAGCATGACAACCCACATTTTGAAAATAATCCACATACTTGACCCTTGGGTGTTGGCTACAGTTTTGTCTGATCCCAGTCAATGCCTTTCCTGCCAATATCAAAGGTTTTTATGTTACATTGAACTTTAGGGGTGCATAGAGGTCTTGCTACTGCATCTCCCTGCAGGTTAGCTTGTTGAAAAAAGAGAACTCTCAACAGATCATTCCTACTGATCTTAAAAAGATGACTGGATCCATAGAGATACTATCACCTTAAGGCAAACTGGGTCCTAACTCTGAAGATTTTATATACCATATCTAGCAGGACAACCTATCCACCCCCTCCAGGTGGCAAAGTAGTACCAAGCTTAGGGTATTGAGTCTGAAGGGAGGAAGATAAGTAATGAGAAAATCTAGACATTGGGTTGGCTCTGGATTTAGTCATATTTCAAGTAGATCCACTGAAATCACTGGGACTTAAATTTAGTCACACTTAATCTGGATTGAAAAGCATTTTTAAAAAATTAACAGTTTATTACCTTCAATCTGGTCAGCACTGAATTCAATCTACAGGAGAAAGAAAAGAACATCAATTAATCATTTGCCATTCTTTTGCAAATATGCACAACTTCTGTTGGCTCAGGAACTCATATGTTAGGGTTAAATGCAGTTCATATATTTTGGGATGTCCAGAGCTTTTACACACCTGATGGATCCAATACAAGACCACTTAATTAGGCTTAAGTTCTTGTCATACTCTATGTCAGGGTGACTAACCCCAAAACAAACTTTCACTGCATTCCTAAGAGTGGATTCTAGACCATGTATATGCATTAGCATGACATGAGTGGAAGGCAACTCTTCAGGATTAGCATAAGTACTGTTTTTTGTTGGGGTTTTTTTTTTTTTGAACCTCATTGCTCTGCATGTTAGAAACCTGTGCAGAAATGTGCTCTCTTTCACCCTGCCCAAGTCCCATTTGAAACATCCCTTCTCATGAACAACTGACTGAATTCATCTCCTGTTATCCTAGCCTCTTCCTTCCTTCAGTTGCTTCACCCTACTCCCTTTTGATGTTTGGACTGCAAGCCCTTTGGGCAAGGTCCTCACCCCTACCCAGCCTTTTGAGCCTTTGTGGGGACTGCTCTGGGGGTTCCTGATCTGGCTTCAGTCTACAGTCCTTCACTTGTGCCATGGCTCTTGCCTGTTTCTGACTCTGCCTTTGCCTCCGGTTCTGTCACACTGTCCTGTAATCTGACCCTTGCCTATTCCTTGCCTGTTCCTGACTTAGTCTTCTCCTCTGGCCCTACTCTGTATGCCAAGCTCTTCATCCATCTCCATCACCTCTGGCCTGGGTGTTCCAGTGCTGCTTCCCCTTGGAAATGTAGTGTGTGTGTGTGTGTGTGTGTGTGTGTGTATTTTATTTCACAGCATCCTCCCAAGGTCAAGGTGTCAAGTGGTTAAACCATTTCCCTAATGATCTGATACTATTAATAGCCCTCTTCATCTCTAACAGTCTATCTTGAAAGAATGTGGCAGTATCAAAGGAGAGGAATGGAAAATGTTTCCTCCCTGGCTGCATGATAATGACTATAGAGACAAAGGATCTGCCCGGTGGGCGGTGAGTCAAGGCAAAGGATAGCAGGAAATATAGGATCACAACCTAAGCAGTACAATGGGTTTATTAACCATTATAAATTAGACCCATGTCTGATACAGCAGTAATTATCCAATATTCTTCTGCTTGTCTTAATTTAGTGCTTTAATGCCAAACTAAAAGGTGTTCCTCAAAAAAAATAGGCATGTTGCTGCAGTGAAACACAAGAGCACTTTGGCTAATAGATGGCATAGAGATATCATACATTAATAGCCCTGGACCAGTGATTCTCCAATTTTTTTCATGCCAGAAGTGAGGACAGGGGAGGAGATATACCAGTTATAAACAGACTTCACTTCATAAATTTAATCAAGCATTTTATTATAAGCTGCCCAGAGAGCCTTTGGGTTACAGGTAGCATATAAATAAAATAAACTCTTGTTGGTCTACAAATCAATCAAAGCACATACTTAACTTACATTTATTTCCCTCTAACATCAGCATCATTGTCAAAACCAGTAGCTTATTAAGAACATCCCCAGCCATTCAGCCAAGCTGCTGCAAAGAGTCTCTTTAACTGGTAAAGTTTTAGGGAAAATCAGCCGACAGTCCTAGCACCCTTTAATGAAAATAATGGACTTAGGCCAAGACCTTGTTAGTCTGCTGAGACACTGGGCCTGGACAAAATCACCTCACTCTCAGTTGTCAGAAAAGATAAATTCAGTGCATGGATAAATACAGATCTGTTCTGACCTTTCTACAAACTTTCCACCAGTCCCTAAAAGGGAGCCCACACACTAGCCAGAGCCCATAGATGTAGTTTGAGAACCTGTACCCTAGGCTGATGGCATGGCTGATTTTTTTATGCATGAAACATGCAGGGGCTGAATGTCACACAGGACTGTATTCACATCTTTAAGTACATGTACATGCATTTCAGAAATCTGTTTCAATCCCATTTCCCAGATGTGTGTACTCTGCCACTGTTGAGCTAGGCATGTACACTTATGCACAACTTCCACACATCAAGCATTTCCCGCAGGAATTGATTGCATCTGATTAGAGTTGAGCAGTTTGGGTGCTTAACTTTCTCAGTGCTGTGCCATTAAAGCAATTCTAAATACACAACAGTATAAAAACAAGCCACTTTAAGAGCACCTGCATACCCAGAGTAGAAACCTCCAGAAAGACTGAAAAGGTGACAGTACAAGACTTGAGCAAAGGAAAAGTTCTCCCGCTTTTTCAGTGAAGGGGAAAGCAGGATTGGTGCTGACACGGCTGTCTGGAGAGGATATTCCACACCTACAGTCCCACAGCAGGAAAGGGCCTCACCCCAGCCTTATTTCTGGGAACTTGGAGAATCGTCTTGGAAGAATAGCTGAACATTTTCTGCACATTCATATGGGAGAAGGCAATTCTTCAGGTACCCTTTTGGGACTGACATCACTTGTAATTAGTGCTTATAAACTGATTTATGAAACAGTACAGCTGTTTTCAAGACTGGCCTGCTCCAAATGCGCCTGCATTTTGATTTAACTGACATTTCTACACAGGACAGCTCCACATACATCCAGGGCCAACCGACATCTTGGGATGTGTCTAGATGGAGGTAGGAACTAGTGTCTGAATGAGTGTTGACCCTAACTGGGTAGAACACAATTTGCTCCCTCCCCTCCCCCCCCCCCCCCCTCCCCCCCGTTTAAGATCGGAAGAGC